TAATACAACGAAATGGAGCACCTGAAAGGAAAGGGTGATCTCACATCTGCCAGAGTCAAGAGCATAGTGGATGGAGCGTTCCTTTGAAATGTAGTACACTTCTCAACCAAATATAAGCACCGTTTTGCTAAAATGTAGTTCAGGTTGGAGAAATACAATCTGTTGGAAATTGCACAGATGTGATTTCCAGCTTTAGGAACAACAGCGCGGCTGTATAAGGCACAGCCATAGCAACCCTAGTTATTTTTTTGCGCCTGACCTCTGCTGTACCCACTCATCATTCAATCTTTCAATCACTCGAACGGTGTGACTGTCTCACCGATGACTGCCACTGGCCTGACTCACCATCCACCATCCAGGTGAGTAAAGAGTCGAAAAGGAATGTCTCATATCTACTTCCTTCTGACCATTATGACACGTTCCATGTCACCAAGCTATTCCCCACTTTTCACTGATTATATCCAATTTAAACCGTTTGCAGATATTGTGTACTGTTTGAATATGCACCTTTAGTTATTTGTACGGTTTCAATCACTTTCGATCTCGAGGATGTGCGTGTCAGTAAGCCTGATTATATCCAATTTAAACCGTTTGCAGACATTGTGTACTGTTTGAATATACATCTTTAGTTATTTGTACGGTTTCAATTACTTTCTATCTTGAGGATGTGCGTGTCAGTAAGCACATAGACTCCGAAAAAAGTGTGGAATCGACAAACTTTTATACCACGTGAAATAGAAATGTTCAGCAATCAAAAATGCGGCTCCCATAAACTTCAAAATGCCATTGGTTGACTGACGATAATGGGCTGGAATATATAGAGCCACTCCGTGGGGCTGTCTACTTGAGATGCATTCCAATGATTAGTTCATAAATCACCAGACTAAACTTTTGTTTTTGTGAATTGCTCTTACGTAAATTTGTTTTTCGCTTGTGTTAGTGATGACAACGTGTGCAAACACAAGTTTGAAGTTGGCAGCCGCTTCAAAGGCGCTCTCATACTAAGATTAGAACCCGGAGCTTCTGCGATGTCAGCCACTGGGCTATTTGAACTGACAATCTGTTGTTTAAGCATTTTTGTTTCTGAACATCCACATATTCCGTTAATGGATAACAGAAGTTTACAACTTTACATACTCACTGTATTGCAAGACGTCATAACCGGTGTAACAACGACACCATAACCATTCCAAAATCTTTACGAAACGGAATGAAAGCTAGTCCTTCATAATGTGGGAGACAAAGATCAATTCATTATGTGTTCGAAGCAGGTGTCTTTCTATCTGGTGGGGGAAATCACATGGTACTTTTATTCATTCAAAAACCCAAATAACCGTTTACTAATGTCAGTTTGCTAATTTTCCAGGGTAATTAATCTGAAGCTGATGTCCGTCACATTTCTAGTGCATATGGACACATGGCTTATCAAAATGTACTTAAGGTCAAGGATGACGGTACAGTTCCTGACTTGAGACTTCACAAGATTCAGTTCACACTAAGGGACGCCGAGCATCAGTCCACAAGAACCTGTGCAGTTCTCCGTTTCCCCAAAGTTCAAAATGGCTAAAAAGTTTTATTTCATACAGAATGTATCTCGCGGGTTCGCTGACAATGTGCACCACTATTCTGTATTTGATGCATTCAATTTTTTAGACTTGTGGCATTCACAGCATAGGAAATGAGAACAAGTTTTGTTACTTACATTTGTCCTTACATTCAGACCTTGGAATAAAACTATCACGAATAGACAGGAGAGTGGCGCAACGGAACAATGAATACTACTCTTCATGACATTATTTATTCCTCGGCTAACTTATGTATCTAATCTCCAATTGAGTGAGACCTTCTAGAATTCCGTAGCACATCTATGAATGGTAGTAGGCGGCTGCTCTGAAACTATGATTGGATGAAAGTCAAACAGACTTAATCGCATCTCAGAAAAAGCGATGCAGAGTTATTTGAGGGTTCCAGACTGAAATAAGCCAAATTAATTGTCGAACTATTTCGGAAAGGTATGACATCATGGGTTGGTCCTATATTTGTCATGAAGTGTGTGATGGATCACATGTACTGTAAGACAAAGTTGAAATCGATTGACTTTTAGAACACCCATCCAATCACTTGTGATCATGTGCTTCGTGAAAAGCCAAATTAATTGTCGAACTATTTCGGAAAGGTATGACATCATGGGTTGGTCCTATATTTGTCATGAAGTGTGTGATGGATCACATGTACTGTAAGACAAAGTTGAAATCGATTGACTTTTAGAACACCCATCCAATCACTTGTGATCATGTGCTTCGTGAACCGACTCTAATCAAAGTGTTTTTTTTTCGTAGAAGTGAATTTCAGCTTTATTCACTGATGATGAATACTACAAATACCTGAGGCTTCTATTGCATAAACTAGTCAACTTAGATCTGTCTTCAGACAGTGGTTAAGTTGGTAGAGCGAAAACGGCAAATCACGTGAGTTTGAATTTCTACAGTTTATCAATAAACTGTGCTTCAGAGGATAGCCTTGGTCGATCCCTCAACAAATGTGTCATGGTAAGCTAGTTTCATCCAAAGATGTGTCTTTATTTGACCAAGCTGTATTGATGTACGAAAGCGCCATAGACTCATGACGCAGTACCTGGCTTGAGGTTGAAATAAATATAAACACAAGATAAAAACTTACCAAGCTATCACAAATTGTCATCATTACTTACAGGCCAGAAAACTGCGAGTAGCTGACGACAGTTGTGAACCACCACACTTCTCAGTAACGCAAACCCGCGCATCACCGAATTATTTTTAGAAGGGACTTGGAGACATTTTCATAAAGGAAACTACTCTCAAGGTTGCTGAAAACTCTTCGACAGCTCACGACCAGTTTCGCCCTTCTTGGGGCTCATCAGGTAGGCGCAGTCCCCGAGTTTTCGTCAATCTTATGTTCTACTTGAACCCAAATTGGACTGTTTTCGAGAAATACACTCATGTGCAAATCAATTTGGTTTTCACGAGAGACTCAACTGAATCTCTCGTTTATGCTATTCTACAACTGAATGTGCAGCACACAGGCTGCTTCAAGTTTCAGTTGGCACGATATTCGAGATATCGCAGTATATTTTCATAGAGAAAACTACTCACAAGTTTGGAGCTATAGATAGCCTTGGGAGATAAACACAACATATGCACGGACGAGTTCATTAGGCATCGTAACTACTGATCCGACCACATTAATTCCCCTACAATCACTCATCGAAAACACCTGAAAGTGACTAGTTAAGTGATTCCGAACAGGTGAAAAATACCCTTAGATGGGCTTCAAAGGTTTTAAAGGATGCCGATTTTAGAGGTTATCAGAGTCACTTTCAGCTTGGAGCAAGCGACATCCTTTACCTCACATTCGCTACTGTTAATAAGCAGTCACTTGAATGTCTTCTCCACACTCCAAATTCGTTGGGCCTTATTTATTTGATAAAAAAGACATAAGTATCCGCAGTAAAGACCTTGCATGACACCACTCTGAGCATTCTCATCCGATTACATCACAATTACTTATAGAAGAGCACTATTTCAGTAGTGATGTAAGGTTATACAAAGATAAGCCACTAAAGTCAAGAAACATCGAATAGGAGAATAACGATGGGTTTTTTTCGATGGTAGGGTACGATACAATACGGATTTAGAACCACACAGTGAGAAAATACTCCTCACCAGTGCAAAAGCGTCGATAAGAAGTGAATCTTGTTGTCCGTTTCTTCTCGCACTGGTACTTTTTGCTGACCAGGTCCAAAAGTCTCGCATCAGTCACCAAGCTCCCCAAAACACTTTCAGAAAGGCTTTACAATCTCGGGCCAATCAAACAGCACAGGGAGAAAGCAAACGGATCACACTTCCGTACATCATGAATATTTTGGAAGTGACCGCACGCTTTCTACGACAGTTTGACACAACAGTGTCCCCCAAACCTGTAAACACTCTACAGAGGGCGCTATCAAACCCAAAAGGACGATTGGACGCAGTGTTGAGGATCAACGTCGTGTACAAGATTCAGTGTAGAGATCGTGACAAACGCTACATGGGACGAACGGGAAGGAAGCTCTCTACCAGAATACACGAACACAAACTTCCAACCAAAAGGAACGACCAATTTTTACTCGTTTTCCTGCAAGAAGATCAAGATGAACACCAATTCGACTGGAGTATCGTTCAAATATTGGCTTAAGCGAGAACAAAGAGGGAACCTAAATTCACGGAAGCATCGCACTCCACTGTAAAGGTCATCAACAAACACATCAAAATCGACCCAGTAAGCAAGTAAAAGAACCACGGAACTACAGAAGGCAGAGGCGGACAAAATAAAATGAACTTTGGGGGAGCAGTACACTAACCAAAGAGGGATAAACATCAACTGAACACACAGACCATCAAACTACAACCGAACTGGGCCATACAAGAAGAGGAAACCTCCATCAAAGGAAGAAGTACAATCGGCTCATCAGACATAAGAATATGAGACTACGATAGAAACCAATGACAGACGAATTAGAATGAAGAAAGGAAACTGCCAAAAATAAAAATCACCATCACAACCAACCAAAGTTAAGGAAGTAAGACCATAAAGCAATACAAACCGGGAGTGGACCTGAAACATCCCAAAGCAGCCATCCGACCAACCAATGGAATACGAAGCATACAGATCACAACGCAGCGCAATTCACAATTGGGCATTAATACTAGAAGAGAGGTATATAACAATTAGCTAATCACATGAGAGGATATTAGATACCCTTCAGAAACTACATAAAAACAACTAGGCACTGAGTTATCACTCACTCAGCTGCGCACTGAAATTGTCTCCTCGACTAGAGACAAAACGTTTGCAAGCTGATTGCCAAGTTCGGCGGACATATCAACCACCAGTAGACAAACGTGATTAACTAAAGATAGCAGCCAGTCCGAAAACATTCCGTTATAGTACTGAATGGTGTAATTTATTCAACTGAAACTGACCTTGTGTCCTTGTCACGTTTCATGGCGCTTCTTTTTGGTGCCTTTGACAGATCTGGTTCACTCAAAGCTGCGTGGGAGATTTTCACGTACCTCATCTTTCTTTCACTGTTTCTGGTTGCCAAACGTCGCTTGTACAGCTGCGCTTCTGTTAAAGACAAGAGTGAGATGTCAGCTCCCTCTGTTTCTCTCTCCTCTTTGTCGTAGCCACATTCCGGGGCACTGCATGAAGAAGTGTTAACTTTCACTTTGAGCTGTGTGTGATGTCCTCGTAATTGTTCGATTCGACCTTGATTACAGGTGTAAAGCGATGTCTTCTCCACACGATGGTATGCACTCTCAATCGTACGACTTCGAAACAGACGCCCAGATTGAGCAGATCCGTCGGAACAGTGAACTGTGAATGTCGACGGTTTGATCAACAGTGGTGCTGAATGTAAATTTTCTGGTGGATCCTCATTCGGTGAAACTGTTCCAGTATTCTCTCTCGTTATACCGGGTTGCTGTGATGAATCTGCTTCACGTCTCACTGGAATTAAATAACACCCGAAATCAAGCCCAAGCTTTCCTCGTCTATGATAATTTAGAAGGGTTTTGAGAAAACCTACTCAACATCTTAAAAGCAAAGGACGGTCATGCATTTCCGATTTCACCGCGAAACTGGCAAACACAACCTGAGATCAAATGATTTGTGCAGTTATAAGTTTGAGGCTAATATATATTGTCCACACATGAGGAATTACCAATTTCAATTGCGTTTCGGATGCTTGAGAACCTAAATTATAGCCTGCCCACCTTTCCTTAAACAAATCCTGCCATAACGGTGAGCTGGACATCCAAATCTCAACAAGTTCATCCAGTCTTTAATTGAGGTCCTCAGAGTACAGGGTGCGAGAAATCCAAGTAATGCAGTGAGTCTCCATTTCTCCGAAGGGTTCTTGTGCTTTGGAGTTCAATTTTGGGCAAAGAATAGTATTGCTTGTCTGAGTTTGATTTGCTGACTAGGCAAAAAGGCCCGCTTGCTTGAAGCTTAATCAACTATACTAATACTTGACACCTAGATTGGTGTACAGTCGCTTTGGGAACCAATTACTCTTTTACCTCACCTGAACTTGAATCAGCTTTGCGCCAACATACATCCAGAAATAGAGCGAAATTTGAGCAAATCAGTGTATACCGAACTAGAAGTTGGTCGTTAGGATCTCTGATGTTTCGCGTGTGACGTGTGATAATACAGGCCTTTTTTATGCGGTTCAGTTCCATGAGACTCAGACAAAAGTTAGTTTTGGAGGGATGAATTCAAACAACTCTATTAGACTATACTCTGCTGCATTCAGCCATTGTCGAGCATCCTGTAGCGGAGCATAACACACTATTTGTTGCTTCCGACTTACCACGGTACCAGAGATCCTTCCAAATATTTCGGTCCTTTGATTCTGAATGGGACACCAATTCCGTGTATCCAGGTTCGTGTACAATTCTCCTCTCAACTAGCTCGTTCTCCATAGGGGGAAGCAGCGGGAAACTTTTAGCTGAAATGTTGAAACCGATGCAATCTAGCGTCACAGCATTTCAGTGAGTCTTACTGATCTGTATTTTTGGAATCTAACTATGTGCTTAGGTCATAAATACGACATTAAAAATAGGAATCTCTGTTCGACCGAATTCTGATAAACAGTCAAAGGATGTATGATGGGCAAACATTCACTTTTGACAGCTGAAAGTGTTTTCTAGCCAACTGAGTTTAAGGTCAGATGATGCGGAAAATGAAGGCTGGGAGGTTCCCGTCAGCTCATCATACGTTGGTCAAAAGTACTTATTGATTATTGAAGGTGACAGTGTCATAGAGATGGTGTTTTCTGGAAAATTACCTACAGATTGGACAGCGTTTGGAATATTGACCTTCCTGTTCGAGGTACTTTGGTGATGATCACTGATGTTCTGCTGAGGTTGCTAACAGTTGCCGAGGATAAAATATTCAAAGTACTCGAACTAAGGTCCCATTGACTGGGCCACTTGCACCAGCATGCTCCCCAGTCGATATTTGAACACAGCCGATGAATCTACATTATCTTGCAGTCTGCTTTCTGGAAAGTGCAGTGTCAACCCTCATATGCACCAGATGGTTCTGACAAACGTTTATCCACACAGATCACTTAAATTCGCAGTCGCAGTCAAAAAATAAATTATCGAATATATGTTCCAAATCTGAAAACAAAAGCCACAACTGGGACTTAAATTTGTACAGTCTACGTGTCGGTGGTAAGTATCAATCACTCAGTCTAACGCATAACTTGTAATTTTTCTGAGTAGGATGTTAACTTAAAGCTAACAGGCTGATGTTTTTTCGTTTACAAAACGAGCAGCCCAAACTGGTGATTTACTTAGTGACCTAACGAAGCTTTCGTGTCAAAGTCAAGAGGTCCAACAATGACTTTTCCTTTTTACAAAGGAAACTATTCACAAGGTTACTACTAATCTTGTGAGTAGTATCCTTTAGGAAAATATACTACGATATCTCGGATATCGTACCAACTGAAAAATGAGGCGGCCTTCGTGCAGCACACTCAGTTAAAGACTGTCACAAACAAGGGATACTGTAGAGCTTCAAACGAACGATGTCTTATCGATCGGCTCCAGGGTTCTCTCAAATTGGATAAATCTCCATATTTTTGACATGATGATTGATATAAGGTTGTAATGGACCCCTTAACAGCCAACTACAGGGTTTATTTCTTTTAAAGCTTGTCAGATTGGTCTAGTCCACGATAGTTCCGGAGTAGTACGTCTAGAGGGAACACACTATCCATAGCTTTGCTAAAAATTCTTCAATAGCAAGAGACCAGTTTGTTTATTCTTCGGGCTCATCGGACACGGGTGGAAATCGAGTTCCCCCCTACTTTATATTCCGGTTGAACCCAGATTACAAGCAATTTGAAGAGTAAACTCGTTTCCATACCGATTTGATTTTAACTGGAGATTTGATTGAATTCCACCGAAATTACTCTCTTGTGATGTTTTTGTTCTTGCTTAGTCTTATTTCGTTCTTGATTCGTGAGTCGCTGTGTGCGCATCGTATCAAGATGAAAGTTCATTTACGATACATATTATCTCATGGCGTTTTAATTGCAAAAAAACCGGAACCGCTGACCCCGGCACCAGTACCGATGCGGAAACTTGCAGCTAGAATGTTAATGATTTAACTGATTAAGGTGTTCTGTTCTGGGTAAGTGAATAGTGGTCAACAGAATTAGTAAAACATTCTGACATGACTCGGGTTCCCAGTTTCTAGTTGCAAGTAAACCGGTAGCTGGGTTGCCGGAGGTTGACCAGCACGCCTAGCCTTCGTGCAAATGCCGTCCCGAATAAGGGATGCGGGAATTTTAGTGATTTTAGCTCCAACAACACCTGACTGAGCTATCGATTTTGTGGCATTTGAATGGTAAGCATAGTACGTCTGCCCCTGTGAGGTCAACCTTGACTGAAGAGGAGTGGTGCATGGACCGTAGTTTTTCATATTTTGGCTGATCATTTTCAGTGCAACCAGTGGTGATTGATTACGGCGCTGTTCTAACTGATGGTTTATTGTAAATGTGGATCCTTTCCCAGAAACATTATGAGCATTTCTGATTCACTATGTAAAGTTGTTCATTGGCTCAATTAATACTGCTCGATGTATAATACTCAACTTCTTGCGCGTCCTCCGTCGAACCAGCTATGGAGCTGAGGACGATACCTACCTAACCTACTCGTGTTTGAGATTCACATAGTTTTACCAAGCTCACAATTGAAAATGATGTATCATTCTGTAAGACTTTTGTTTTGTGTTTAATGAAAACCATCGATTTTTTGGATTCACAATTCCCGAAACATTGGCTGAATAATCAACCACTATGACAAACCGTTCAGCCGTTGGGCATCTGAAAGGACTGAACAGATGCTGTATTGAAAACCCTGTTTGCAGAATACCAGAGGGTGCTGGCAGTAGGAACACAAAGTAAGGCGTAGCCTAAAGGTTGATCAATCTTCTGAGGGTTTATAGTTTGAAATAAGTCTCTCAAAATGAAGGTCGATGAGAAGACGAAATACATATTTGTGTGCATTTTTATTCGATCGAGTTTTACTGACCAAAATTCACATGAGACTAACAATGTTTTGAAAAATATGAGGGTACCACTGTTCACCAGTCTGTTTGTTTCAGTCTTTTGAATTTTCGGAACATCGGGACTTGTGGTGATGCGCTTAGGGCATCAGTAGTTGCAATATTTTCATCATATGTATGTAGATAAATTAATTTAATCTGGTTTACTTCTTACCGCGGTAGGTTCCTATTTAAAAAGAGAGAAAGGAATGAATGCCTTGCGAGGTGACGTGTGTCGCAGTAAGTTTTATAGCTAGTCTTCTCCAAAAATAGACGATCAAGAGAAATTTAAGCAGCATGTACTATATATATATATATATATATATAGTTCTATCCATATCAGCTCCTTCACCATTAATGAGGATTATTAGACAAGTTCTGATGGAATACGTTCATTCGCCTTTTGACCAGCTGCCACGTACAGCTAAGCGTTACTGACCTTGGGACTATTTAGTAGGCGATAAAGCTTGTGCAACTGCTAAAAACGATTTAAAGGTCATACAATGGTCCCACCAGCTGTTCCGTCCAGTCAGGTTCGTGGTCAACCATTTAGTAAAACAGTGTATTCGAGGAAAGAGGGGCTCACATTATATAGAACGGGTCCGCAGCGCGAATATTTGTCAATATTCGTCCGTTCCGGCTTTGCAGGACACCGATATTGGAAAACTTATTTGAACAAACTCAATAAAATTTACAAGAAACACCTGTTTTCGTACTCACACCTTCAGCACCTTTTTAAACAACTGTGTCTCGTTTACAGATTCTGTAATAAATCAAATGGGGTTCGAATCACTCATCAAGGGTAATAAGACCTCATTAAGGAAATTTCATCATTTATTTATTTTATTCGTATCACTACATACGTTTTATTTCAATTTCAAGTATCTTCTTAACGATTACTCTTATTGTTGAGCGGTGAACTTTACCGTTCCTGCGGCATCCTCCAAAATACTTAGTTCTACTGAGGGTGGTTTGTCCTTTTACCAAAAATTCTGATCTAGTTCGCTTCAGGAATTATCTTGGCGAAGTTTCAGTCTATCCTGGTGAACTCGAGTACAGTTTCCGTCCATCAAAATATTTAGCGTCCATGTATTTTAAGCGGCCACAATGATGCCTCAGTGATGCATTCAACATTAACGGTCGCCGATGTCACTAAGGTGGATTATTTATCTGTCTTTTCGCACCAGCTTGCATCTACCGATGGTAGAAGATAAGGAAAACTGAAAACAGAAGCATATGCTTCAGTAAACCCAATGAATCCTGCGGATCAGTACAGAAAGAGACTAGTTACAATCCCGAAAATCCGCTCGAGATTGCCTACATCTCATGGTTTGAAAAAAATCAATACCCAATATTCTGCCCGTTATTGTGCACCTGACACTAACTTGATCGCACTCATGGAGATATATACTACACTCTCTGCTTTATGGCTTTTGATCCATATCAGAGTAAGGAAAACTCTAGACAGCTGGAGATCTTGGTGAACGTTATTGAAAATGAAAATACTTTCGGGTTTGCCGTGAAAATCGATACCTTGAATACAGGTGGTCAACGCAGTGTTACATCCCCAAGGCGACTGATGGCTGCTTTGGGTTACTTGAGAAGCCACAAGAACATTGGATATCACTGTTTACATAAGTTGATGTACCAATGAAATATGCTCTGAAAGAACACTGAGTAGGGACTAATTGACGATTAACTGAATGACTATAATGAATCCTATCAGTTGTATCAAATGATTGTGTCGGTATTAGAATTCATGATACCTCTGACAAGCTTATAAGATATGAATATAGGGATGATGGGTTCAACCCTCAGAATACGTTTTTTCTTCCAGCTTGAGGAAAATGCAGGATAACAATTCAGTCTAGGATGGATGGTGCAAACCAGAGCGAATTTTGGTGCGACTACGTAGAAGTGAGACTTAGTGAGTGAAAAAGCAATGTCTTCCATCCTAAAAAAAAGAGAATTGACACATTTTGTTCAGGTGTGGTTGAACGATGTGAGACCAAACTAGTTAGAAATGTACTGGCTGATAATGTCAAAAGAACGGTATGTATGTGGGGTAGGGTATCCAAAAATATAGCTGTTATGAAAGTAAAACGTATGGCGACACAGTTTGGAGTGTTCAGTTCGGAAGAAAGATTAGCAGGGTCGACATGTTTTGGACATGAAACAATCGCTCTGTTTTCAGAAAATTTCATTTAGTAAAGCCGAAATGTAAGATCCTACAGTAGTTCAGCTTAAAGTGAGACCACTGCGTTGCCTTCTTTCATGAAAGAATACACTTTTCAAGTCGCGTTCTTTGGAGAACAAGCAACCTAACAAAAAGTGGCGTGTTTTTAGACAAAAATGTCTACTCGGATGATACTTTGGGGAAATTCATGTAGT